TGTAAGCTTTTAGGGAACTAGTGTCAAAATCTTGTTGGACTTTTTGTACAAAGATCAGACAAGTGGTCATCACCACACAGGATTTTTAACTATGAAGATCCTATGTCACCTAAAACAACCAAAAATCTTGCTGAAGCTTTTCCACCAAACTTCTAGGTGACTGGTGAGCTATCTGGCTTATGATTGCCTTATTTTTTCTGTTCTGATCCAAGAGCCATCAGTGTTCACACCTCTGAGTGTTGTAAGACCTATCTGCTTCCAGAAATGCATATAATAGTGCACATAAGGCTCAGCAAGATACAGATTAAGGCACACACATCAAACATTAGGTAAAATCTTCCGATAAGGGTACATGTAAGTACTACTGACACAGTCCTTAAGAAGCAAGAAGAGACCAAGCACACACAAGGTTACACAAACAGGCCATGCACCTAAGTTTGAGGTGATTCAGGGTGAAGCCTCCTCCAGAAGGAGTAAGCACAAGGACTTCAGGTTCACATTGCAGAAAGGATTAGCCAAGCTGGTAGTAATGTACAGGATTCCCATCCCAAGTTCCAATCCCACTCTGGACCAGACGTACTACCAGCTGTCCCATAGATGTGGAAGAGTTTCGTTTCCATTACTTTGAATTTTCCAATTAAAAAATGAAGACCTGCCCAGAATTTTGCCTGAGCACTACAGTCCCAATAAATAACAAGCTGTTAGAAGAGACATCTTTGCCACTGCATGGAAGAGACCCTGCAGTTAAGAGTCTCCTTGCATTTTCCTGGCTGCACCAGGAACAGTTTACTCAACACTGCAGCAGTGACAGAGGTAAGCGTATTCCTGTAACTTCTTCAAATAGTCACAAAAAGGATGCAAAATGTGTGAAAGCTCAGTCACAATGCAAGGATAGCTGGGTTGGAGCCATGGTGAAGAATAGTTTTGACAAGTATTAGTGCCTTATTACTGGAGAAAAACAGCAACAAAACATTCTATTACTGAAATGGAAAGATATTAAAATATTGGTTAAACTGTTGGTGCCGTGTAGTGTCTAATGAGTGTGTGTGAAGCCTACTAAGCACTAGGAAAAGAGAAGATCCAGGAGATGTTCTCAAGTACCTATAAGGAGCTACTACAGTTCTGCTAATACTGTAACATTTTTTTTTTACATCAACACTAGCATTTTTTTTTAATAAAACCTACTAGTTACACCATCTGTTCTAAACACTTGGCAAGTCATCTCGTCAAAAAAAAAAAAAAAAAAAAAAAAAAAAAAAAAAAAAAAAAAAAACCCCACCCCTGACTGGATTCACCATCTTTTGAATTCCGTGTGTTGGCAATTCCCATGTTGCTCGGTACTGAAGTCTACTGAAACCTCTCCATCTGCTGGTGGCTGCGTTTCATTCATGTGCATTGTACTAAACCAGCCTTGCAAGACACCTTCAGCCGATTCTGGGTAGTCTTTCAAATATGCTACTGGTTTATCACATTCATTCCTATACTAACAAGCATCTGAGATTAAATCAAGGAATAAAACGTAGTTTTAGTGGCAGCAGGAAATTCCTGCATCTGTGATTTGACGGTGATTGTCAGTGCTTCCAATAGCATTACTTGCTCTGGTTGGTACTGCTTTTGGATAGCTGAACATACTTTTGCATATGCGATCCAAGCCCACGTTGCCTTTTAATTTCTATTACATCACACTGAGTGCAATGAGCTTCTGTAAAATCCTGCTAAGCATCACAGCTTCCAAAATAAATTTCTGCTGTAACAAATTCTGTAAGTGTTATCACAAAAATAAATTTAACTTGGAATATACCATGGGAATTGTCTTCTCAGAGACAGAGATTTTGGCTTCATGGTGAGCTTTTGTGAGCTTTCCCCACACACAAACACTTAGTGCAGAAATAAATAAGTAAAAAAAAAAAAAAAACAACAGTATTTTTGAAGAAGGCATAGTTCCAATGCTGTTTAATTGCAGACTCTAACAGTTTCAGGTACCTCTAAAGGTAGTATTACGAGGTCAAGGGCCTTTTTACTCCTCACAGCTTTAGTCTTAATTGTAATCACTTAATTGTAGTGATGTAGACTTACATAGCCTAGTAAATGTAGCCATAATTATGCCTCTCTTTTATAACAAAGCCTGCACATCTGATGACACAGAATTAAGAGTTACAACTTCCAACTAAATATTAAAATACAGGTGTAGCAGAAATGCTAAGTCATGGCCTAAAGCTGTTTGAGCACCTGGTGGGAAGGCAGGGCCAACCCAGGGGAGCTCAGGTGAATGCAATGCACCTCAGTGACTGGAAGGGGTGAAGTCAGGATCTACCCCTTCCCAGACCTCATTTAAGGGTAGGCAGCGGAGGTGAGAGCATTGTCTGCTGGAGAACCCTGCCTATCTGAGGCCTTTTAAAGGTAGGGAGCTCTTTTCCTTAATTTCTGCATTTGTTGTGCTTGGGCCTGTTCTCATTTGCAGAAGCTAAAGACTTGGCCACCCTGCTGTTATTGTGATACTTTCCATCTCATTATAGCATTACAGCAGGGCAAAAAGAGGCATCTTATGCATCACATCCCTCTGAAGGCCTACCCAAAAAGTTTCTGAAGATCTGGAATTATTCACTGACTTGATTAACAGAGTGGATTACAGAACAAATGTGCTTATTAAATTTGCAGGCAGTGTTAAAGTGAGAGGGACTGTGTTAGAACTCAGAGCTTAGGAAAGTTCTGAGAAGGCTACGAAAAAAAAAAAAAACAGTGTAATTGCAGAAGGGTAAATGCCAATTTCTCTGGTTATGCTGTCTAACTACAAGTCAGTGAATGAGAAAATGGGGATCAGAACATGCAGTTAAAGATCTAGTGGCCATGGCAACTCAAAAGCTAGCAATGAGTCAGTTCTCATTCTGCTGCAAAAACGAGTCCTTAGTAGGTTGTATAAATAGAACTGGCTGTTCTCTCAAAGGAATGTGAAATAGACTTCTTATGGTACTGCTAGTGCTACAGCTGAGCACTGTGCAGAGATTTGTGTGTGATCCGAATGGAGAATCTAGGAGAAAACAGGTAGAACTATGGAAACCAAGGCTATTGAGGAAGAACTGATTGACTGACAGGTTTAATCTAAATGTAAGGAGAGGCATTGTGTCTGTATGTACAGAAATAAACAGCATCAGCAACTCACAGCTGGGACCTGCAGTTTCCCAGTACTGACTGAGAACACAGTGATATCCCTGAAGATGAGTGTACACCACCAACTTCATCATCTGTGGTTTTAGGATGTTTTTGTCACAAACAGACTGAGTCTCCCTTGGAGATAGAAATATACATTTCAAGAAATCTTTTATTTACTATCATTCTCTTTCTTAGTGCTACCCTGTCTGCAGGTTTGGTAGGGTGCTTTTTGGCTCACTTATTGATTATTTTTACAGTCTCAAACAAAACTAAATCAGCACTACAGTTAATTTAGCATGAATCTAAGAAACACATTATAAGAAACTATTCCTATTTTAGAATAGGTCCCTCAGTTGAAAGATACCTACAAAAATCATATCCTCCAGCTGCTTGACCACTTCAGGACTAACCAAAAGCTAAAGTGACCAAGGGCATTATCCAAATGCACGTTGAACACTGGCAGGTGTGGGGCATCAAGCACCTCCCAGTCCATTTACCATCCACAGGGAGCTGCAGAGGGCAAGGAGAGGTTGCCTCTGAGCCTCCTCTTCTCTAGACTGGACAACTCAAGTACTACCTGCCTACCCTCATAGGTGACAGGTCTGGGAGGCATGTCCTGCTTTGCTGCTCTCCTCTGAATGATTTTGAGGACCTTAACATCACTTCTATATTGTGCAGTCCAGAGCTGAACAGAATATTAAAGATGAGGCCACAACAGTGCTAAACATAGCAAGAGAATCTCTTTTAACTATCTGGCTATGCTGTTTAATGTACCCAAAACACAGACTGTCGTCTTGGTTGTTAACTCATGTTGAGCCTGCTGTCACCAGCACCCTCAGGTCCCTTCCTGCTGATCTGCTTTCTAGCCACTCCTCTCCCAGTCTGTCCCTGTACCCAATATTGTTGTGTCCTTGCTACAGGAAATCACATACGGCCCATGAAGAGCTCAAACCCACTGACACACTAACAAACTGAGCTAACCAGCCCAGCTGGACATACATTGTAGGTTATAACACCTCTTTCTTCCTACAAGAGGTGGATTTCTTACTACACCATGATGTTAATTAGAAAAAGTTTTCTTTCATCATATATAAATTTAGGAGACATACGTGCTTCATAAAAGCTCCAGAATTTCACTGGTATCATTCAAGTGTTTCAAGATTTGATCTGAAAGAGCCAAGCCTCACCCACTGTACCTACTGTAGGTACAGCGGCCAAATTCTCATACATCAGTATAGCAATATATTCTGTTACTGAAAACCTCATACCATTTTGTTAATTGTTCAAATGCCTTTTTAAAAATTATACTAATACAAGTTCAGTGTTCCCTAATGGTAGTTTGTTCACTGCTGTGATGTTACACAAAAATACTGTCAGGAGTGCTGTGGTTCATGCTGTCTGTCTTCTGTACTAACTTGAGAGGTCACACATAGCAAGCATTCCTTTGCATATGTTTTAACAAGAGTTCTGTGGCTGTGGAACTCTACTTAGTATTTCATAGTCACAAATCCTTTGCTTTGTTACCTTCACTGATCTAAAAAAGGCTTTTATGAGTATATCACTTTTGTTCTGAAGGGTATGACTGAGCACTTCATAAACAGCTCTTCCCATAATTTCTGCATGGAGACACAGCAGATACCCAACTTCTATACCACCCCTCAGACAGACAGTATGCATTATACTAGGCATTTTCTTTTTCAGGATATTCTGCCAGTTTCCTTCCACAACACAAGGTGTCTGCTAGTATAATAACAGTTAGTTGTTCAGTTTGCAGGACCCACACGATCACATATTACTTGCAGCACAAGCTGTAGTGTTAAATGTCTTCATTCAGGGAAAAAAGACATACATACATTTATACATATTTATTTTAATTTTTTAAAAGTAGCATTTGCAGTTTCTTTTAAGCATTCACCTCTCTTTTGCTTCAAATGTGCACTTATTGAAACATCTACTGGCTTCCATGTCCAAGATTCATACCTATAATAATACATGCCAGAATCAAGCTTCATTGCTTGTTGGCAGCCTCCTGTCATGAAAATATTATACAGTAACTTGAGTGTAGGAAAGGCCTATGTTTGTCATCAAGCAATAGGCTGGGACTGGATTAGTCTCCTTGAGTCCAAGGGTAACAATGCTTTCCAGAACACTGAAGCTCACATAGTAACTTTTGTTTCCTTTTGTATCCAGTAAGTGAACAAGGTGGTTGATTTTTCTATGGTAGCTTCTTTAGTTGGTAAGATTTCCTCAACATCTACAGCAAAACACCAGTTGTAGACTTCAATTATTTAGAAATGTCATCTTTTAACAGCAAGAAAATACTTGATCTGGCATGTAGTTAAGCGAACTGGGAACAAACCAAATTTCATCCTCAGATAAACATATGTAACTACTATAGATTTTGATCTAACCCACACACAAAATTTTACACATACTACAAATAGAAACAGAAGCTATCAGCAAAAGACTATCTTACATTGTTTCAAATTAATTTGCAACTATACAATTTTAATGTAATAGAAAAAGGAAAGGAATATAACAGAACAGGTATGAAGAGAAATATTTTCCAAACTTTTATTTGTGCACATTCATCAGGTGAAAAAGATAACTTTTACAGCTTCTTTGGTGCCCAATATTCAGCATACAAAAATGTAAAAGACTATTCACAAATAAAACACAAGCTCAAACTGAAAAAAAAAAGTTTTTAAGGTAGTGCACATCGTGACAGCTTTGCTTATGAATACACAGAAATTACTGCAAAAATAAATAGAATGTCTTTTTAAAAGCAGCAATTTCATATCTTGTAAACTTCTGTTTTTACAATACAGCACTGTTAAGAGTAAAATCCAAAAGGACTGGAGTTTATACTGTGGCCATGAACAAGAAAAAAGTCTGTATTCCTCTGCTATAGTTGGTCCAGTTTTCCTTTTTGCTTTTAGTCCAATGTGCAGCAGTCTTTAAAGGTGCTTGGTTAGGGAACCTAACCATCAAGTGGTGAGTTATAAAACTTATTTTCTGCTTTCAAACACGAAGGGGTAAATCTGCTCCACAGCACTGGCGACAGCCTTTACGTTTGGCCCTGAGATATATTAAAAAAAGGAAAAAAAAAAAAAAAAAGCAATAGGAAGAGAAATAAATCAGACCATCATGAATTAAAACAACTGTCTTTAACAATTTTAGCTACCATAACTTTAGTTTGTAAACAAGAATAATTTCTCCCAAATTAAGAATCTCCCATCACTTCTACTTACAAGAGAAAGACTCTAACGTGGATGCTGTAAGATGTTCCACTCTGGCCAATGGCTAGAGTACAAATAAACACTATTGATTTCCTTACAAGTTTCATATTTCTTAATCAGTCAGCCCAGGGAAGATTGTAGCAGCTGAGTGTCAGAAATAAAGGAAATAATTTTACTTACACTACTCTTCTAGGAATTTGCACTACCCAGATTTGTATGAGCTAGCTACACTTAATTCTTCTTTTAAATAGCCACCAACAAAAATTAATGCTAAATAATGCTGCATTTAATTTAAGTATGTTTCAAGCAAATTTATCTTTGAAAACTTTTCAATCTTGATTTTGCAAATAGCTCCAAACATTCATCTCAAGACATCTGCAAGCCAGAGAGTGATTATTATCTCAGGATGAAGCAGCTGTGGGGTATCTGATTTATCAACATTTGAGGAAAGAAAACAAACTACCAGTGCTTTTTAATGGAACTAGATTCTTTTCCACAACAAACAACTGAGGTCATAAATGAACAAGCAATGCACATGCCAAAAGAAATTCATCCTGGATAGAAGTTTGGTGATGTATGATAAATGAAATCAGCTATTTCTCAAGTGATTCAATGCCTGAGTACACAATTTCTTTTTACTCTCCTTTTGGACTTCAGAAGTTAATCTCAAGTAGAAAGAACTATTCAAAATGCCTCCCCAAAATCACAAATAACTGGCTACATCTTATTTATATAATCTGGGAAATACTGTTTTAACTCACGTGCTAAGTTAGGAAGAAAATGGAGAGGACCAGGATTATTCTTGTTTTCAAACAGACTTAAATGTTCACTTAAGCTTAGGTGAAAGCCTATAATATTCTCCACCTTCTAGACAGATGCTGCACCCTTCTCTAAGTTGTCTGCTACTGTACAAATACAAGCTCAAGAGACAGCCTTCAGGAAGCAGCACTGAGACACAAACTTACAGAAAGGCTAAATCTCATTAAGAAGATGATGTGATGCCCTGAGTCTTCTAAGACTTCAGGGAAGCTCAAGCTCCCAATTTATCTTAAATCTAATTTCTAGTTCAACCAGTTCAGAATACATGCTTCAGTGTAGCTTACAGTATTATGAAGATTTAAAAAAAAATAAAAATAAAAAAGGAAAAAATAAAATACAAACAAATGAAGCCCTCAGACCTTGTCCACTCAAGGTAATTTTTAAGCCTATCAATCATAACATTTTCTACGTAACTCCTCTGGAATTTGGCTCTGAAACAATTTAGATGAAAGCACTGGGAAACAAAATCCACTCCATCTACTCAACATATCTTTTGACTATTTTGAACATCATCTTTTCCTAACTAACTGTCCCTGAAGTTAAATATTCCCAACAAGTCAAATATTTATGGCATCAAAATACCTGTAACTGTGATACTGCCAGTTGAAAAAATCTGTAAGGTAGCTCTGAGAGTTTTTATTCTGTAGCACACAGCAGGATGAAGTTCTGGTTCATAACTAGAAAACAAAATAAGAGGTCAAAACTCAAAATGAAAAGCTTAAGAGGTACACAAGCACTGTTACTTTTTAAAATCCTACCGTACCTAGCATGAGGTCTGTTATTCTTCGTAAATTCTGGCAATCTGATCTCAAAGGGCATGTTGCACACTGCTAAAACATTCACAACTTTAAAATCTGTGAAAATTACCTTTTTAAAAAGAAAGGAAAGAGTAATTAAAAATTCAATTCATAGAGAAGCAGAGATGTATGCACTGCAAAAAATCTTAAACGAGTACTATAAGAATACTAGTTAATAGTATTTTGATCAATGTGATTAATGCATTTCTGATAAGAGTTTAAAGAGCACTTAATAGATTCAAATCATTTACTTTATCCTTCTATAGTATAGTAGTTGTTGAACTAGGTATTTCACAGTTCTACTATGTGGTTTTAGTACAATTTACTTTAAGAATGAGATGCAGGAACAACTCATCGCTATCCTAAACACATCAAATTTGAAAGCAAACTAAAATAATTCATGAGACATCAAAGTAAGCAAAAAAAAAAAAAGTTTCATTGTTACAAGAATTCTCTGCAATATGGAAAAGCGTCTTTAGTGTTTCATTGCTATAAATGATTTTATTAAAGGTAGGAATAAGAAAAGACAAAAATTTCTTCATTTTAAATCTCCACTCTGGCAACCTCTTCTTTACAGTCTTTGACATTCTGCAGCCTACCACAGACCACTGACATTGTAATTCTCCATTCATGGCTATTCTACATTAAAGTAGCCAACAGACAACACCTAAACAAGTGCATTGATCAATAGTCAATATTAGTAAGATCACTGGAGAATATTTCAGTGTATTTGAAACAAATTAAACAGAAAGTGATCATTCCTCAGTCAAAACTTTTAAGAAGTATGAGTGGAGGCAAAAAACCTTATAAAAAAGTCAACTATTACTTCAAACCTTAAAGTACATTCCACTTAAACCACTCACTTTATTACAAAACTTTGTGCACCTACACTGGAGGCACCGTTCATCTCCCAATAATCCAATGTTCCGCTCTAGCTTTTAGAGCCTGGTTCTAATGTATACATTAGCAATAAAATTGCCTAACTTCTGCTTGGGTTGAATACAGCCTGAATGGGATAGCCTGTCGGTAAACACAGATTGTGGATAAACAGCACAACTGGCTATCAGGAAGTTTTAAAACACATTTTCATACTCTGAGTCATTCATAACCCTTACAACGCAGTTGAAGTAGTATTTTTGACTAGTAACTGTAATCCAAATAGAAAAGAGGAGCTTCATGCCCTGACTTTTTCATTTGACTTAGTTTCAGCTGTGCAATCTCAACACAGCAGCATTTCCCTCCACTGCAATTAACAGGGCTAAAATGTGCCCTAAACAAGATAGACATGCATTTGCTATTCCACCATAAATGAAGGAAATAGTCTTCAAATGACAGCTTGGTTTATACATTTCAGCACTTCTTCCAAATGAATAGAAAAATACATTGTAAGATTCAAGAAACAATTGCGGGTGGTTCATTTAACAAATACTGTTCATTAGCCAGAGAAAAAGCACAATTCTAAGCTGCCAAATGAAACTCAAATCCACTAAGTAAGACAGATTCTCTTCGACAGCATCTGGAAAATGTATTCTGTAACAAAAGGGGCATCTGAGTGAAAACATGCTGGTTGCCGAATTGTTAAGTTCCCCCATACTTTTGTTTTCCAAAAACAGTGTTTACCAGCATTGCTTAAGTCACACAATTCCATTTTCATTAGAATTACCTGAAAACCTAGTTTCTGTAGACAACGAGCTAATCGTCTGGCACCAAATTTAGCTTCTTCTTCACTGTAAAGCAGACAATCTAGCATTAATAGAGTATATATTTATGTTCACACATACTATGTAGATAATCAGAGTATAAAACAAACCATTATGCAAGCATTAAGTGTGATCACGTGGACAGCTGTTTATTTCATCCAGCTGTACATATCAAATTCTATTTTCACTGTCTAGATATTCAGTCTTCAAATATGGTATAAAGAATTCTATTTCACCGCTCAGTTCGAGTCAGTAGGAGCTGCAGTGGAAGTCATACTTTGATCAAACATAAATGCTCCTAAGAGACAAATATGACCACAAGCAGCCTGAATTTGGCCATCCTGACTTGGTGGTTACTTTTCATCCCACTCTCCTTTACAATGGGTGTGCTAACTTGCCTGGAGGTATACAAAAGAATGCAGTGTTTAACATTCCTACTAGTAGAAAGCACAACATAAAGTTTAAGAGAAAAGCTCACCATACAGTTACATAGCGTGCAGGGTGAAAGGAAAAAAAAAAAACCAACAACTCTATCATTTGAATGTTAGTACTGACCAAACATTCTCCATTTTGAGATGGAGAACACACACAAAAAGCATACAGATTTATCATTGTATCTTATCCACAGTGTGGACACATCTCAAGAGGAACTTAGCCTAATGAGCCTTAATGGGTTCAGTGAGTTTCTGTATCTGAATTAAATTTGCTCTTGCTTCTTTCCAGTCCCTCAGTAGTATATAACCTAATTAAATTCAGGTAGGTTTTCATGTAATAATAAAAGAGACATTCCTTAAAAAACATCATCCCTTTCTAGATTTCAAGTTCTGGCTTAAAACAACAACAACAACAACAAAATATATATATATATATATATATATCTTAGAGAGTTTTCAAGAGAAATCACTAGGATTTTTTTTTTCATAAAGTAGTTTTTCCAACTGTTCTTCCAGAAGGCTGAAATGAAGTTTCTTAAGATTTCAATTTGGTCCAAGGCAGACACTGCATAGATAAATTCCTCCCAAATGCTTAGTTGGCAAGAATGTGATACAATGTGAGAGAATATTAACAGTAGCAAGCACTGCCTCTTGCTAACTTCCTCATCTGTAACATTATGTTTTAAAATACACATCAATTTCATCCACAGAAAAGATTTTCATGAACTCACCTTGTGGCTCCTGTGCAAATAACTTTTCCTGAGGACCAAATTGTGGCTGTAATCCTAGGTTTTCTAAGTTTCATTAATACTTTCTGAAAAGGAAAATGAAAGCGAAGCATTGGGAATTAGTTCAATTTCATACTAAGGAAAAAAAAATTACACTAATAATATTCTCTTTATTTTTTATAAGTCTTGAACCGTTCCTTTCATCTCTTTCAGCAATTACAAAATAAGCTCCTGAGAATAGCTAAATAAACATGCACTGAATTAGCCGTTCAATTCTAACACAACAGATTGAAAGTTACCCTCCCCTAAAAAAAAAAAAAAAAAAAAAACAAAAAAAAAAAAAAAAGAAAAAAAAAAGCTGAAAGCCACAGCACCATTATTATTATTTTTTGTTATTATTATCTCAACTATCACACTGCTAATTCCTTATCAGGATAAGTTTTCTGTGAAAAGAAAATCGAATTTGGAGGAGACAAACTAGATCCGAATGCATAGAAGGTCTCATCAGATATCTTAATAAACAGGCTTAGCATTTGACATGACTTGTTAAGCATTCTGCATAACTACAGAAATAAAATTTCTCTATCCATCATACGTGGATATCAGATACATGAAGTTTTAGCTTAAGGAACATATACATAAAAACAGATAACTGTGTTACATTAAATCTCTTACCCCAACATCACGCTTGTATATCACATTTGCTCCCTCTAATGCAATCTTTCTCAAGTTTAAATGACATCTTGTTCTAAAAACACACACTACATTTGTGATTAAAATGTCCAATGCAACATCACTGTCTGCATCCATTGGGGTGATTTACAACTCAGTTCTCACACCAGTTCACCATGAAGATCACATCCTGAGAATGAAAACAACAAAATTAAGCATACCAGTAGAAAACTGTCTATTAACACTGTTCTTGTATACACTCATCCCTTAAATGAGACAAGAAGCAGAAGTGACTACAGTCTGACTCATTTAAGTTCACTGTGTGTGTGGGGGGGGGGGGGAGGGATGTCTGCATCCTGTGCACTACAAAATAGGAGGCTGTTTGTTTGAAGCCACGTTGCCAGACTTAACAGACATAAAATGTATGTACTTTATTTTTAAATCTACTGGTTAAATATGTTACAGCTCTTAGCAACTATATTAGGACACTGCAAAGCTTATTAAAACATTTTCCATAGCTTCAAAGGATAAATGAGAAATGAGCTGAGGAATGAGTTGATGATGTCACTAGACGCCTTGGGAAAATGCATTTCTCTCACTGCTTACATTGATAATTCTGAACAGCTTATCATTTCTATTGAAATAGATGAGCCTGCTGAGTGACTCTGAAACTCAGAAGTTACACACACTACAGCCTGCAGACAGTCTGCAACCAAAGTTTACCCACTTCTCCCCCAGCATTCTAGGCTAAACTCTCCAAATGTAAGAGCATGGGGTGAACTATACAGACTATCCTGATGGCAGCAACAGGCCATGAGACATAGGAGCCTCTAATCCCCTTTTGCTCTGCCACAGGAATGACACAGAACAAGCATACGCTATGCACACAGAAAAATCAAATGTTTCTAAGGAACAGCATGAGTGTTACTATGAAAGTACAGGACAGCCACCCAGCACACAGCACAGCAAACCTAACACAGCAAGGAACTGCTCAGTCTGCCTATGCATGCCAGGGGTGATGCTCCTACCAAACACTTTGACTAGAAGAAGACTGTGAGACAGGGGCAGGCATATTGCTCAATGCCATCCTGCAACTGATGGCATCGCTTCTGTAAGCACACTACAGCCAAGATGGCTGGCATTTCAGATAAATTCCAGATGAAGTGGAATTCCACCTTTTGGAGAAAGGTGGGGGAAATAAAGAGCAAGAACATTGGTATAAAGTGAAAAGGACTAATATACAAAAATATCAGAGCTTATTAAGGAATTTTTCTTTGTATAAGAATGTAAAAATGTTAGTTCTCATCCAGGAGAATGAGGTTAAGCACAGAGCAGCCTGAGGGTTAGAGGCAATAGTACCCCAGATAGCTCTTGTTGCCACTCATGTAAAATGTTAGTAAAATTTCACCCCACATGAATCCCTATAGAAAGCAAAGGCCAAAATCAAAGAAACTGTCAGATACGCAACACGCTCTATGCAGTCACTGCCATCGAAAAAGCAGAAGACTACGTATCAAAAACACCCATACACATAACACAATGCAATGCACATTTATAATCTTATAAATCTTTTGGTTTATGTATCAAATCTACAAGACACAAACTTACCAATGTTATTATGGATTATATTTATCATTATTTCCACCTTCCTAAACGTCATAATAAAACTCACTGCCAACACAGAATAATGTACAATGCAGATGTGTGTAATGCACTTGATAAACTGCTGTGACAGTCACCTTCTCCTGTTGAGCAGCTGGCTCCCAGCTAAAAGAATTATTCTATAATTATTGGTTTGTCCAATATAAGAAAAGGAGAGGCAGGTGACTAACACAGAAATCGATGAAGAAATGGCAAGATAGGGAGGAAACCAAAGGCAATGTGTGGGGGAGAGAAGGCAGAGAACAAACAGTTACTAATTAGTATTCCCAGATCTTTTTTTTCTTTTTTTTTTTTTTTTTTTTTTTAAATTCAAAATTATATGAATCCTATGCAGTTACAAATGACTTGTTCCATCTGGTTTTGCTGGACTACTACAGATTGGGTTAGCAATTTATGGCACTGGATCCAAAGATAGCACACGTGCAGATTTTGAACAGCACGCAGGCAGGGACAGCGTAGAGAGAGGAGCTGGAAGCCATGGCATCCTGAGAGAGGCATTTGTTTTCCATCCTGGCTCCATGTCCTGACTTTTGCTGAGATCACTTACTGGAACCCAGGAACTAATGCTAGGCAAGAAGATAGCTGCAATGGGCACTGTTTCCCAGATTTCACCATGTTCCTACTGGCACATTCAATCTTCACAGTCTGTAAGAATAATGCCATCGTGCAGATGAAAAGGTTCCTAACTGCTAAGCAAACCATAACACTGTATGAGGATATCCCCATGAAACACTGGCAGTTTGTCTTAAATAGAACCTAGGAGAAAAGCTTTAAGGACAAAAAAAAAAAAAAAATAAAAAAAAAAAAGCAATTGAGAGACATGAAAATCACATCTCAAAAGGAAAAGATCTATCACTAAAGGGAAATTTACAGGAAAAATCTCAGCGTAAAAATGTTGTGGAACTGTCTGTAAGAAGGTTTTGAGAAACTATGATGTATCTTGGTTAGGTGTACAAGTTACTTCAATGAGTTTTAAGGGAGAAAAATCGTAAGATATTAGGGTACCATACCCCCATTTTCATTAGCCACATTCTGAAAGCTCAAGACAACAGATATATAGGGAGGACCTTTTTAAATCTGTAATCTAATTTGAGCTGTAGCTAATATTCTAGACTGTGGTTTGCAACATTCAGTTAAAAAGTGACAGAATTTTTCATAAAAGCAGTTATGTAAACACAGCATAAGAATTGAAAAACTGCCTTTTTGTGACTGTAGCATTTTCTGATCTACCAAAAGAAGATCACTGAAACACTTCACTCAAATGCTGAACATTTCAAATATTCGCTATGACATTTCTCCATTTGCACTAAGATGACTGCATTTGCTGCTGCAAATACCACCCAAATTCCTTCAAAATCTGAGCGTGGACAATTTCAAATTCAGCACGTCCATTCTCATTTAGCACATAAATACAGCACCAACCTCTTCCAAGGCATGGTTTAGAATTACTAGATGAAACAAGCTGCTTCTATACTTGGATGCTTCTGCTGAACAGTGAGCATAACCTGCTACAAGCTCTGCCTCAGGTGTTCATTTTGATGTTTCATGCTGTATCAGCAACAAAGAAAAAATTGTTCAGAAAAAGACGTGCTCCTTCTTCAGGAAGTCTTAAAGAAATCCAAATGCACAGCAACCACTTCAACAGAAATTAATGATTTAAAAAAATACTAATATATGCACCACATAAAAACACCCCAAACCATCTTTACAAAAAATAGTGTAAGAAGGTTCATTAAAAAAAAAACAAAAAAACAAAAACCTGTTCTTTCTTCTGTTTCTCTCCAGTAGCACAACCAGCTGGAACACACAGTTGTAACCAATGCTTTGATGCTCCTCTTCCCAAGTTTTCCCTTCTCATCTCTGATTATTGATGCACCCTACTGCATCCCATTCAAGGCCAGGTTGGATGGGGCCTCAGGCAGCCTGATCTTGTGCCAGCCCTGCTGGCACAAGAGGGTTGGAAGCAGATGATCTCTAAGGTCCCTTCTAACCCAAGATGTTCTATGATCCCTTATGGGTAGCTCTGATCCATTCTCTTATTTTCCAAATTGAATTTCTACATGTCTGTTTCGTATCTGCAAACTAGGAAAAATAATCTTGTCATGCTTTTAGAAAGACATCTTGATATTAAGGAACAGTCTTATGTATGTGCCTTTCAATATCCTGTATTTATGCACTTATATTTGCAGAGCAGTGGGACTGAGTAAAAACTTAACATCTGGTTCTTTCCTGTTTAGGGTTCACAAATTCCAAGTTGATTTCACTGAGCTCAACTTATGTTCTCCTGATTAATATCACCCAAAAGTTCTCTCATCTGAACCTTAAACTTTTGGCAGCTTAAATCCCATTTCAAAAGTATGTTCTGCCAGCCACTGCTAATTTAGTAACAGGCTAAAACAGAAGATAAAATCATTTACTTTTCTACGCACACAGCTTTACTTTTGTATTGTACATTTCATTCAGCTTTCTCCAGAGCAAGTAACAAGTAACATATTTGAATTCAAATTTTCTTGTATGAATGCAACAGAATCCACACCAAGAGTGAAAAGATACATAAATGCATCTTCACAAAAGTTTGTATTATTCTATTTTATCATAGACATTTTGAAAGCTTGTTCTCTCTTTTAAACACGGATGTCAGGGAAACCAATGGAATACTGTCATTAAGGAGAGAAAAAAAAAAGGAGGAAGAAAAGCAAATAGATCAAGCAAAGAACCTCAAAATAAGAACAATAAAAACTAATCTCAAGAATATTTGGCTCTAAGAAGTAGTGCATTCTACCCTGAAACTAAAGAAACTTCCCACTTTAGAGTAAGAACATTTTGAAGGAAGGAGAGAGAAAAGGATTGCACACTGCAATTCTTGGACAAAGCATTACCCATACATCCTCAATTAGGATCAAGGCCATACTATTTTTGAAACTATATAAACACACACAGAGAAACACACCCTGCACTGAAATCTTGCAATCTAAAAAAAGCCAGCTTGCTCTGACTTCCAAAAAAAATTCCAAACCAACACCACTGTCATTATCAAAGAGAAAGAAAAGTCACTAGGGAAAGGGTATAAAAACAAAGTAATATTTTAAGCTTTTGGCTACCTTTAAGCTGAGAAACTCAGAGTTATGAAGGTAGATGATGGGTACCTAACAACGGTGATGCTAACATCAGAAAAGCTTTATGAACATATCTGTCACACCAGCAGAAGGACAAGCAACTTGTACTGGTTATTTTTAACCTAAGCGCTTTGCCAACCAATTCCAAAACCTGTTCCAACAGCCCAGTGGACAGCGTTCCCAGTGGAACATACCACTGTTGCTGTTGGCATTCCAACAAATAGCTTGAAAAGCATTTTTTACTAAGTTATCAAAAGAGCCCAGGTGAGAATGAAGAACACAAAACACAAATCCTAGTGGGATCCAGGAGATAATTAATTCCATCCTCCTGTTCGCGTTCGGGCCGTGGGGAAACAGGTCCACACGAACGAGAGCTGACAGACCTGAGGTCTGCTTGAATCCTGGAATACAACACTATCACAGCGATCGGTGGACGACTCCCAAGAAATGAGGGCAATACTGCTACTGTCTGTCCACGAACCCTCTGACTCAATCAGCTTTCTAAGTGTCAGAGCCAGAGACACGTACTTTCATTTTTTATTGCCTCCAGTGGCA